TCATGGTTTTACAGTTCCTAAGTTTAGTCAAATCACGTATCTTAATTGTTGAAAAGGAAGAAATGTTCATCATTATTTTAAACGTATTATCATTTATCATAATGGTTTTAATTAAATACTCGAAAGGTCTTGCATAATTTTGTCAGCTCCTTCATGAGCGCAACCATCTATTGAAGTTGCCACCGTCTCTGTCCATTATTTTCTTTATAATTATCTGATCCAATACTGCCGCGGCCACTGACTCAGTAAGTTTAGTTCTGATGATTGGGATAACATTTCTATGATTCAATACAACTGTAAGGATTATACACTTCTTTACGTCCGAATATTGAAATGCTACTCAATTTTATGTTGTACTTATATATCGTGCTTTGTTAGAAACCCAACCAAGGAGACGATGCGCGCTTTTGTCGTCACACCGGGTTCAAGCTTTACGTCAGCTAAGTCATTGTATGCGACCTACGTGACCTGTCGCATGTACGCACGACTGAAGAAACTCCGGTCTTCTCTGAGAGCAGAGTCGACATATAAAACTTTTAAACTGTTATTAGTTGTACAATATTTTTCTTCTACATTTACTAATATAATTTTCCGAACCAAATTTTAAAATGTTAGAGATTCAAAGAAAACTCAAAAAATAAAATTATACTAAACTATATAACGAACATTATTTCAAAGGTTTAATAATGGGTTCTTAGCTCCCAATAAGTTGGTTACGTTTTTGACCACATCTGTTAAATAGAAACTGTCATATAAACAAATGTTTGTCGACGAATCATATTGTGGCCCTGAAAAGGGCCTTTTGTTTTAAGAATGCGATGCGGTGGGTGCTTTCCACGTCTGCTCCTAGCATCATTACCTCTATAGTCTAAGCTGCTCGAAGTCACGAAGCAGTTTTTGACTCTTCACACGTATTTCTACTTTCTTCAGTAAATCTGTCAGTCGTTCGCGTGACATAGGACGCACTCCTTGATCTGCTCGCCCATGGAGCAAGCTACAGCTGCTGTTGTTACCATCCTTGTTCTTATTTTCTTTATCAATCTGATCTATTGCTGCCGCTGCCATTGACTCAGTAGGATCAGTTCTGATGGTTTGGACGACATTTCTTCTATACAGTTCACCAAAATTATTTCTTGTGCTGTTAATAAATTTCCACGCGTTGGTAACATGGCTCGCTGAGTGCTTCTTAGGTTTCGTTACACCACCATTCTTTGCTCGTGGTATGTTCCGAATACGGCCACGTCTAAACCTATCACCGGCTACTTTTGCAGTACTGTCTCCAAGTCTTCCAGATATAACTTTACGCTCAGCGTCACCATCCCCGGGAGTATCTTCGATAGAGTTTGTGATACTATCGAAATCCATTTCAGTTTTGTCAAACATCTTGCTACTTGCAGTGAGAACAGTCGAAGTTAATGTGATGCACACTCAGCTACTGACTGGACAGCAATAACTGACCAACGACTAAATTTTGACTTATATACCCACTGGGACAAAGAAAAATATTGGAGTGCCACCGTGGGAACCATAAAACAATGCATGTTAAACTTTGGCCCTTTTATTGTTTTGACCATTACCATTAGCTTTGCGATTTCTTAGAAAACAGTTATCACCTATTGTCCCGACTATGCGAATAGTTTAGTGATAAGGGTTGTTTAAAATATATTTAACCAATTTTGGAGATCGCAGTTTAAAAAAAATCAGGTTAAACTTAGACAGCTGTGATAAATCGCTGTATTATAATTATTATAAATCCCATGTAATAGGGGGTGAGCCTATAGCCACAAATCGGGCACAATTTCAGACTCTGTGCTACTACTGACATTTTTTTTACGAACCCAGTAATACTTTGCCCATCGAGATCCCTTGTCCAGCAGTCGAACTTGCAACCGCTCGACCAACGAGGCAGGCAAATAAATACCATATTTTATTTACAAGTTTTAAATATTCTGGTTGCGGAACACAACATAACCTGTGTACCTGTGTGCTATAAGTTGTAATGTCTTTTTCACTCCCGTGTCTCTTGTCTCTCGCTCGCATTCGTCGGAAAGATGTACTCAATTTACCAATGATAATTAATTGAGCAGTAGTGTTAGTGTTGTTGAAATCGTCATAACGGGGCTCGTTACTTAATGCGACAAATTATAGACGATATTTTGAACCAAAAACTATCGATAAATATTTGTGTTGACACAACTATAATCGCTTACAAAGAAAATATGAAGCTTTTAATACTTAGTGATTGTTAGTGTGGGACTAAGATAAGATAGGATTTTATAAGATTTTCAGAAAATATCCAAAATAGTACCAGTTTCAATTCCTAGTACTTAAATAATAGAGGACTAGCGCTTTGTTAGCGTGGGACATTAGACCAGTCTTATCAGGTTGTTCGCGGAAAACTGTAGTTAGCGATGATGCTTACCATGGAGTACGCCTACCTATAATAAACCTTTTACTCGGGCTCTGAAGACTCCCACGGATATTTATTTAGCGGTTTTACATATTTGTTTAAAAAAACTAATATGTCCGTTTTATATATCTTTAACCGACTTCAGCGGTTTTGTCCAAATCAGGTCTGATTGGCTACATCGGAGGCTGGACAGAAGCTCTTATACTTCGACTAGATGAAAGTGATCGATTGGATGTAGCCCTTATCATAATGGTCTGGGTAAGTTAAGAATCATCATCTAATACTTGCTACGGTTGTTCGTACCCCTTGCTACGTAAGTTCGTAGCGCATACTACGAAATTTCGTAGCTACTGCTACGTGATATCGTAGCGGAATTAAAACTAGACATTGTTTCCTGTAGTATAAACTTCCCCAATATAACGCCTGGCTCTATTGTGTAAAATTATCATCAGCAGTCTGTGAGTCCACTCCTTTACAAAAAAGCAGTTTGCCATAATCTTCATCACAATCGAGTCACTATTGCTTTGCCGGCCTATTAAAATGGAATACGACCGTTGGTCTCCAGAAACTGACTTTAGATTTTTTATAAATTATGATAATAATGATATTTATAATTATAATCATCCTTTAATGTAATCATCTTTTAATGTAATTGGATACTTTGTAACTAACCAAATTATGGACAATATACGAGGTTAAAGTCGGTTCTTTTGAACGTAGTTTATTGAAAATTGTCATTAATATTTTATTATATTAAAAAGTATATATACATATATTTAACTGAAATAAGTACCGGATTGTGTGTTTATGAATTAATATAGATTTAAACGAATATACCTAGTATTAAGTATACAAGAAGAAACCGTTTATATACCTACAGAAAATAAAGGTATTTTGTCAGTCGTGTCTAGATAATCTTAGAAAGTTTTTGTCTTCAAATAATCTTCTGCATTACGCTGTAAAGGTAAGGTTGAATTAGTTTATGTTAATTACTATATTTACATGCGATTCGATACGTTTCGTTTCTCTGCCAGTATAAACTGATCCTTTCAGTGTTCTATCTCCATAATGTATTATAAAACTCCAAAAAGAAATTAAGTATGTATTGTTAATTACATGTTTATTTAAAATTCAAAATAAATAGAATGGAAACCTTGACTGTTTGGGTTTTGTTTTTAAATACAAACACACGTAATTCTAAAACCGGTAATTTTAGCGCTATCGCAATTTTTACCTGATGAACCGTATACCGGCCAGTACCAATATGAGTTTAGGAACCTTGTTGAAGATCGTAAATGATTTTGTCCTCAAAACGTTCGTCCACTCCAGATCCGTTGATAAGGTTTCGAGAAATTCATCGAAAATATAACAAAATGTGTGTGTGGTCACAATAATTACCACTTACAATAGAAAATATATAACTTTTAATACTTAAACAATAGAGGACTAGTGCTTTGTCGGCATGGGACAATAAACCAAAGTCTTATCAGTAGAAACTTATGCTTCGAAAAAGTAAACGAGTTTGAAGCTTGACAATGCCAAAGAAATTAATGTTTTGTCTTATTTAAAAAAGAATCTGTTTGCTTTTATGATTTTTGTGGTATTTTTCACAGAAAATGCACTAGTCATAACTAGAACATGAATTGAAGTACTTCTTTTTTTACTTATTTTTTAAAGCAATTATTCACAACAATAAAATATGTACTTTACATAAACTAAAATATTTTAACCGACTTCAAACTTCCCTTTTTGCGAAGTTATTTATTAAAATATTAAAATCTTTTCCTAAGTGTTCAAAACACTTTTCTGTAAACCGCATCAAAATCGGTTCACCCACTCGCGAGATAATCGCACACAAACATACATATAGGACAATTTGAGAACCTCATTGTTTGAAGTCGGTTAAAACTAAATTTGTGTTCTAAATAAAACAATTAACTAATTTCATATTAGAAATTAGTTGGATTTAATAAGAAATTATAAGCGCAGGTTTCCTCGCGATGTTGTCCTTAATCGCTAATTTCATAAACTGAGTCATTTTAAGCTCGTTACCTAAAGATAATTAATGAACTATATAAGTATCTGCTGCTGATCGATACCTATTCTCCACAATTATTTTTTTTACTTTTCATCGAGTAATTACTACTTAATTACTACGATGCTCATCACATTAATAGTGAAAAGTGGGTGTTACATTGTACAGTGGCATTATGTGCCGTAATGTGCACCTCTGCTTATGGCTTCGGGGATAAAAGGCGCGATGGTATATAAATTATTAAGATAATACAATGCTATGAATACTCAAAACAATAAAGGATCAAAGAAATTTTGAAATGACACGTGTTATTTTATGTGTCCCACGGCAGGTTGTACTACGTAAATTGTAAATTACCACGCATTATCTGTGGCAGGTAGCTCTCCCTACTCCATTTCTTTTGCTTTGTTAAAGTTGGCAAACTGAATCGTAGTTGCCGAAGAGTCATTGCTTGACTAGTCGTTGACACGAACAGACGTCCGTCGCTCGTCGACCACTACTTACAAATATTATATTACAGTGAAATCATTGTGAAACATCATCATGTCTAACAACATGGGTACTGGACATCAATTGAAGGAGAATGGAAATCCTGGTCGCATATCGAAAGAAAACCGGGATAAAATAAAAAATAGCCGCACGGAAGGACGCAGATACACATCTGAAGTAAAGAACCATTTGGAAGGTGTCACTAAAAGTAAACCTTCGAATGGAAAAAAGACGAATACCGTACCACAAGTGAATCACAAATGCCGTACCACAAATGGTAATTCTCATCCCTTAGATCTGTTTCCCAGCGGAGAAAGGCTGAAGGAATTGGACATGGCATACGAGGGAGCAATGGATCTTTTAAGGATCCTTGATGAAGATGGTGTCAACAGAAGTAAAGGTCGATCTAAACGCAAATCAAACGCTAAAAGAGACATGCAAAATGAAGTTGACATGGCATATGAAGGGGCCATGCAACTAATTGCAAATAGAAATTATAGCCATATTGCGTCCCGTGTTGGAAATCATGGCCCTAGTAATCGAGGAGCTGAAGTAGGAGGTGGAACACGGCATACCTCTGCCGTACCGACTAAACCAACTCCCCAGTCAAAGGGGAATTTAGTAGCACCCAATGCTGCAAATGCCTCGCCTCTAATGCCCCACCCACGGCGAGGAGCATAAAATATAATTAATTGGCTTAAGTAGCTAATGAAGGTGGTGCATGATGCAGGTCGTGGTGAGCATCTTTCGTCCATTGCAGAGGAGTTGCATGGAGAATTCCAAATGGATTCGCATTCTGAAAACAAAAGGTCCTTTTCAGGGCCAAAACATGTTTCGTCGATAAACATTAGTTTATATGACAGTTTCTATTTAACAGATGAAGTCAAAACGTACTTAACACACCCAGGGACTTACTATCTTGGAACAAACTTTCCTTATTTTAGTTTTTATAATTTTATTTCTTATTTAATTACTTTCTATTATTTTAGACCCTTCATTAAAAGAACTCGACCCAACAGACATTTTTGTTAAATTTTGTTTCGCACTATAAGAGTGCATATTGTAAAAAAGAAAAATATTCATAAACATACGCATCTTACACGCAACACATTAGACGCATAACTATATGAAATGAAACAAAGAAGTTCGCATTAAATTGTATTTTTTCCTCTGTAAATAGTTATTTTTAGTTATCTTTATTTAATTTTCTCTTTATAAATTACATAATATGTTTTATTAACATTATACAACTTAAAATATAAATAAATAAAAACTAAAATATTTACACCATAAAAAAGTACCTAATAATAATATAATGCTATCTTAAGGCATAATAAAAAATTTCCTCATCGCTATTGTGAGGTAGGGTGCCCAAAAGACTGGCAGCATTGCCACGTTGTATGGCAATGCTTAACCTTTGCCGAAGGTAGTAGCCAGCCCTTCGATCACCCGAAGTGTCAACCATCCTCCTTACAATATCTTTGTAAAGAAGATGTGCACTTGGGCCCACGGCCCTAAAGTTTCAACCCCAAACGGTTCGAAAGCATAATTGCCAAACAGGCTATTATACTTTCGCCGTTTGAGGTTCTCGGCAGCAGCAGTGGCAGCACCGGCTCGACACGTTGAGCTTGGAAGATGGGATGGCACCAGAGTATCAACGCAAGTGGCGTCCCATACTAAAGTCCTACCCATCTTCCAAGGAAATAATGATATGCCGTCGTGTATTCTGCCATCGTCGCGTAGGTACCAAGCCATTAGGGTCTAAGTGCACCCCCCCCCCCCCATCCGGAGTCCCACAAACGGTCTTTGCGTACTACTACATAGTGCGATGTAAACAGCTCACCATTAGGTACATATGGAACTATTTAAAAAAGTTTCAGTCAAAGCTACAAAGTCAAAGTCACATTGTGTCATATTTTTATAAACATATTGGTTTTACTGCGCAACCCCTTAATGAAACAACTTAAAATGATGCGAGTGAAGAGAAACGAGGAAATAATAGTTTTTGTACCACAAAATATTTTAATGATAACATAAGTTCTAAGAAAATTAAATTCTAAGAAAATAAACAATAGCTTTCACAGGGCCACAAAGTCACTTCAGATGCGTGGGAAAAACTATTACTTAGTGTCTTAATTACTACGTTTTAAAGAACTAGTTCTTTGTTATTTGACGTTGGCTTATTGTAATACGATCTTTATCTGATAATACGACAAGTATTGAAAATATTTACCGTAACCTGTTTAGGGAACAAAAGAAATGCTCAGGGCTCTAGACTATATAAGGGAGGATCTTCAAGAACGTGCACACTTACAGTTTAGACTGCATACAGTGACTACACATTGTGAAGATTGTTAAGACATTCTAAGCCATGGCTTCCATAAACAATTTGACCATGTCAGTTGGACTTCGGAAATCACAAAAGGATAAATGTGGTTTGAAAAAGGCAGCGAACGACAGAATATACAAGAACAAAATACGGCGAGAAAAAAATAATTACAAACACAAGACATCGAAGAGGAACAACGACGAACAGCACGAAATCATTGATGCTGATTCGCCCTTCCACCCAGCGTTCCAGAGTTGTCGATCTGTAGACGAGTTCCAATATCTCTACAGAATTGATGAAGGATCATTTGGAACTATCCATGGAGCCAAGGACAGACGGACGGGGGAAATGGTGGCCCTCAAACAGCTTAAAAAAATCAATGAAATGGAAGGATTCTCCATCGCCGCTCGGAGAGAGCTTGGGATACTGCTGAAGATGCGGCATCCCAACATCGTTGCAGGCCGAGGAATAGCGTCGAGTTCCGGAAACGAGCATGTGTTTATAGTCATGGAGCTCGTTGATTACGACTTAAAAACTTTTATGCAGACAATGAAAGAAAACAAGCAAATGTTTTCAGTCGAACACGTGAAATGCCTAATGACGCAACTGCTAAGCGCTGTCCAACATCTACACAACCATCACGTGATACATCGCGATCTCAAAACCCACAATATATTATTGTCAAACGAAGGTGTATTAAAAGTGGCAGATTCTGGGATGGCCCGAGAATATGAATTCTCTCCTCGGCAATATACGCCGGACGTAGTTACGCGATGGTACCGTGCGCCTGAACTACTGCTGCTTTCGAAAGAATACTCCGCTCCTGTCGACATGTGGAGTGTTGGATGTATATTCGCTGAACTAATAACCTTGCGGCCACTATTTCCCGGCAGATGTGAGTTGGATCAGATAATCAAAATATTTGTGGATCTGGGAACGCCTTCAGACACGATTTGGCCCGGTTACAGCGCATTACCAATGGTGAGAGACATCGTGTTCAACGACTATCCACCGGGCGGGTTGCGTAAAAAGATAAGTCGCAATCTGTTGTCTGAAGACGGGCTATCTTTACTGCAAGATCTTTTAATCTATGATCCTGCTAGAAGAACAACAGCAGCCGCTGCTTTAGAGCACCCATACTTCAAAGAGCAGCCGGTGGCGATGGAGCCGGCCATGTTCCTGAAGTCGCCTGCTCGCTGAGCTATCACGCAAGGGAATGATTTTGGGATGGATAAGGGAAGGGAATGATACTGAGAATATGCAGTCCTTGACAATATACGGCGGCCAGCGTGTGGATATACCCACACGCTGGTAACGAGCATCTGATCTACAGCTACATAGCAAAACAAAAGGCCCACAGTATGATTCGTCACAGTTTCTATGCAACAGATGTAGTCAAAAACGTATTCAGCTTATTGGGGGCTAACTACCTATTATTAATTCTTAGTTTAGTTTGTTATAATTTTATTTTTTCAGCAGTATCATGGTTAAGGTAATGAAAGCCTCTATAGCTAAGTTATTACAATTGATAGATGGCCTGTATCTACAGTAATAAAAGTAATTCTTTCTTTGACAATTAACAACATTAGTAAAAGAATTTGACATGTCAACTCTGCTCTCTGACCACGTAAGCCGCATACGATTACTTAGCTGAAATAAAGTTGAATGAATGAAATGACGTTAATTCATTAATTCAACATCATTAATTTAAAAAGTTAGTAATAACTAACTTTTAAAAAAATAATAAAAAAATTAAAATTCATAAATTTTTTATTATTTTTTATAGGAAACGTTCCTTTTTCTTATACAATAATTACCACTGACATAGAAAATACATACTATAACTTCTAATATTTTAACAAATGAAGATTAGTGCTATATAATCGTAGGACCAAACCAAACAAAAATTGAACGACCAATCACGAGTTAACCAAGGTCACGAGTTTGAAGCTTGACAATACCAAAGAAAAAGAACTATACCAATGATAAGAAACAATGGTTACGAAGAAAATAAAATCCTTATCCTCAATCTCCAATTCTATATCCCTATAACGCCGATAATGTAGTTTTATCCCTAGTCGTCACCACAACTGAATATATGCTCCAAATACCAAAATATCGTTTATAAACTGAACAAACAAACTTAGACCCAGTTGTGACTTTGTAGAACACCATAACATGCATTCTATAATGCTGATTTATTACCGTTGACAACAACGTAATAATCTTCAACAAAGATCATGTAAATCCGAAGGTTCTCAACTTATTCAGTAAGTTTTTATGTGAAACACTGTCAAACGCCTTGTTGAAATCTGTGCATATAATATCCGCTTGGTGACCGGCATCAATAGGTTTTGATTGAAATAGATCTGTTAATGGACTATACTGTATTATTGGTATTTAATTCATTTATTTATAACTACAGCATGCTTTTATATTTACCTAAATAAAGTTGTGTGTAATGTGTTGTGGGAGGCAGGCGTCAGAGGGATTATACGGATTTGTGTTAAATAATTATTACCTTAAAATAATTCTTCGAAATGAATTTTCACTTCAATTATATCACACATCTATAGGAAGAATTCGTAGCTCACAAATAAAAATGACTACACAATAAATTAACAAAACTTGGTTTCTTACGTTTATTGAGTAGAAGTAGTCAGCCCGCAGGTAAGTTGGAAATGGAATGGTACCCAAGAGATGGTAAAAACAGCAAAGGGTGACAAACTAAACGACGGGAGGACGACATAAAAAAGGTGGCTGGTCCAGCAGAATGGATTCGAGTAGCAAAAGACAGAGAGAAATGGAAATCTTTAGAGGAGGCCTATGTCGAAAGACAAGCTGTTTTTGAACCGAACGCTGATATAAGAAGATATAGAGGTAAAGTAAGATAAAATATTTGTAAAGTGTAGGTAGTAAGCCAATTGATTTTAATATTAGTAAGTTTAAATAGCAATAAGGGCTAATTTTATTTTTTTTAACTTATATTTTTATTTTTATCATTTATCATTACGGTTTTAATTAAATACTCAACAGACCTTGCATAATTTTATCAGCTCCTCGATGAGCGCAACCGTCTCTGTCCATTATTTGATCTAATACTGCCGCCGCCACTGACTTCTAGTTAGTTCTGATGACTGGATAACATTTCTATGATTAAATACAACGTTAAGGATTATATACTTCTATACGTCCGAATATTGAAGTACCACTCAATTTTATGTTGTACTTAAATATCGTACTTTGTTAGAAACCCAACCAAGGAGACGATGCGCGCTTTTGTCGTCACACCGGGTTCAAGCTTTACGTCAGCTAAGCCATCGTACGCGACCTACGTGACCTGTCACATATACGCACGACTGCAGAAACTCCGGTCTTCTCTGAGAGCAGAGTCGACATATAAAACTTTTAAACTGTGTTTAATTAGTTGTACAATATTTTTCTTCTACATTTACTAATATAATTTTCCGAAACCAAATTTTAAAATGTTAGGGATTCAAAGAGAACTCAAAAAATAAAATTATACTAAACTAGGTAACGAACATTATTTCGAAGGTTTAATAATGGGTTCTTAGCTCCCAATAAGTTGGTTACGTTTTTGACCACATCTGTTAAATAGAAACTGTCATTTATAAACAAATGTTTGTCGACGAATCATATTGTGGCCCTGAAAAGGGCCTTTTGTTTTAAGAATGCGATGCGGTGGGTGCTTTCCACGTCTGCTCCTAGCATCATTACCTCTATAGTCTAAGCTGCTCGAAGTCACGAAGCAGTTTTTGACTCTTCACACGTATTTCTACTTTCTTCAGTAAATCTGTCAGTCGTTCACGTGACATAGGACGCACTCCTTGATCTGCTCGCCCATGGAGCAAGCTGCAGCTGCTGTTGTTACCATCCTTGTTCTTATTTTCTTTATCAATCTGATCTATTGCTGCCGCTGCCATTGACTCAGTAGGATCAGTTCTGATGGTTTGGACGACATTTCTTCTATACAGTTCACCAAAATTATTTCTTGTGCTGTTAATAAATTTCCACGCGTTGGTAACATGGCTCGCTGAGTGCTTCGTAGGTTTCGTTACACCACCATTCTTTGCTCGTGGTATGTTCCGAATACGGCCACGTCTAAACCTATCACCGGCTACTTTTCCAGTACTGTCTCCAAGTCTTCCAGATATAACTTTACGCTCAGCGTCACCACCACTGGGAGTATCTTCGATAGAGTTTGTGATACTATCGAAATCCATTTCAGTTTTGTCAAACATCTTGCTACTTGCAGTGAGAACAGTCGAAGTTAAAGTGATGCACACTCAGCTACTGACTGGACAGCAATAAGTGACCAACAGCTAAAATTTCTTTTATATACCCACAGTGACAAAGGAACATGTTGGAGTGCGAAGTGCCACCGTGGGAACCATAAAACAATGCATGTTAAACTTTGGCCCTTTTATTGTTTTCACCATTATCTTTAGCTTTGCGATTTCTTAGAAAACAGTTATCACCTATTGTCCTGACTATGCGAATAGTTTAGTGATAGGGTTGTTTAAAATATATTTAACCAATTTTGGAGATCGCAGTTTAAAAAAAATCAGGTTAAACTTAGACAGCTGTGATAAATCGCGGTATTATAATTATTATAAATCCCATGTAATAGGGGGTGAGCCTATAGCCACAAATCGGGCACAATTTCAGACTCCGTGCTACTACTGACATTTTTTTTACGAACCCAGTAATACTTTGCCCATCGAGATCTCTTGTCCGGCAGTCGAACTTGCAACCGCTCGACCAACGAGGCAGGCAAATAAATACCATATTTTATTTACAAGTTTTAAATATTCTGGTTGCGGAACACAACATAACCTGTGTACCTGTGTGCTATAAGTTGTAATGTCTTTTTCACTCCCGTGTCTCTTGTCTCTCGCTCGCACTCGTCGGAAAGATGTACTCAATTCACCAATGATAATTAATTGAGCAGTAGTGTTAGTGTTGTTGAAATCGTCATAACGGGGCTCGTTACTTAATGCGACAAATTATAGACGATATTTTGAACCAAAAACTATCGATAAATATTTGTGTTGACACAACTATAATCGCTTACAAAGAAAATATGAAGCTTTTAATACTTAGTGATTGTTAGTGTGGGACTAAGATAAGATAGGATTTTATAAGATTTTCAGAAAATATCCAAAATAGTACCAGTTTCAATTCCTAGTACTTAAATAATAGAGGACTAGCGCTTTGTTAGCGTGGGACATTAGACCAGTCTTATCAGGTTGTTCGCGGAAAACTGTAGTTAGCGATGATGCTTACCATGGAGTACGCCTACCTATAATAAACCTTTTTACTCGGGCTCTGAAGACTCCCACGGATATTTATTTAGCGGTTTTACATATTTGTTTAAAAAAACTAATATGTCCGTTTTATATATCTTTAACCGACTTCAGCGGTTTTGTCCAAATCAGGTCTGATTGGCTACATCGGAGGCTGGACAGAAGCTCTTATACTTCGACTAGATGAAAGTGATCGATTGGATGTAGCCCTTATCATAATGGTCTGGGTAAGTTAAGAATCATCATCTAATACTTGCTACGGTTGTTCGTACCCCTTGCTACGTAAGTTCGTAGCGCATACTACGAAATTTCGTAGCTACTGCTACGTGATATCGTAGCGGAATTAAAACTAGACATTGTTTCCTGTAGTATAAACTTCCCCAATATAACGCCTGGCTCTATTGTGTATAATTATCATCAGCAGTCCGTGAGTCCACTCCTTTACAAAAAGTAGTTCGCCATAATCTTCATCACAATCGAGTCACAATTGCTTTGCCGGCCTATTAAAAAGGAATACGATCGTTGGTCTCCAGGACCTGAGATTTTTTGTAAATGATGATAATAATGATATTTATAATTATAATCATCCTTATATCTTTTAATGTAATTGTATACTTTGTAACTAATCAAATTGTGGACAATATACGAGGTTAAAGTCGGTTCTTTTGAACGTAGTTTATTGAAAATTGTCATTAATATTTTATTATATTAAAAAGTCTATATACATATATTTAACTCAAATAAATACCGAATTGTGTGTTTATGAATTATATAGAATAAAACTAATATACCTAGTATTAAGTATACAAGAAGAAACCGTTTATATACCTATAAAAGAAGAGTATTTTGTCAGTAGTGTCTAGATAATCTTAG